AGTAAATAATAATAGATTAATTTTATAATATCTTTTAAAAAGCTTCTTAGAAGATTCATAGATGCTACATTGACTTTACATATATTTATAATAATTTAGTAGATTAGAAACTTAGTCAACAAGTTAAGTATATGCCACAAATGTTGATAGCTTGTAGAATAAGCTAACTATATCGTGCTTATTGATATATTGTAATTATTTATAGTACATAAAAGTTAACTAAAATAAATAATATATTTATAAGTATTGATGTACTTTAGAATAGTTAGTAGGTTAATTTAAGGAGATTTGATATAAAAAAATTTATTTTGAGATTTACTTAAGTTGATTATAATATTTAAAATATATAGAATTTAAATATTTAGTATAAAATTCAAGGAAAAGATTGGACCTCTAAGATGAAGATTCAAACCTTTAAGAAGCTTATTTAGAAGGATGAAAGCAAGGCATGGATGGATGAAGGCTAAAAGTAAAGATCTTTATCTCTATTAGTCAAAGCCCATGCCTAATAGATATTCAGCAAGCTATCTACGACTATAATAAGGATTTTTGCAACTTCAAAAGGAGAATTTGAGAATAAAAAGTAAAAATTGTAAAGTTTAGGATTTGAGCTAAAATTTGTATAAAAATTTTAGAGAATTAAAATGATGAAGTTATAGTCATTTGAAGTTAAGGTATCTTTTTAAGACATACTATTGCTATTTTGAGGATACAAGGAGTTTTATGATAGATTTTGGAGATCAAGAGAAGTGTCTGCAAGGATGATTTTAAAATCTATATCTCTTATGAAAGAATTTATGTATTTGGAGTTTATATGAAGAAGTTATAGAACATTGAAGACAATATATGTAATTCACAGGTAGTAAGTGAGTCATTTTATTGATAGTAATGGTTGGACCCATATCTTGAGTTTTTGGATGAATTTTTGGCTCAAAATTTTTAAAAGTGAGTATTATTAGGTTAAAAAGCTATAGGTAAAAATTTTATGGTGTTTGAGTACTTATTTTGTGAGATATGAAGAAATTTTCACACAAGTGTATGTAAGCAAGGATTTGAAGCTATTATTAGGATTTTGTCAATATCTCAAGTTTTACAATGAATTTACAGTTGAAATTTGTTGCAGTAGTTTTTAAAATTATATTAGTACTTCATGTAAAATTTTTGTTTGTTTGGATGGTCCAATCGTGAGATATGAATTGTTGTAGTTTGAAAAAAATTCACCTTAAGGATATACAAGGTTTTATAATATTTTTATTATATTTTTGGTGAACTTTGGTACTTAGGGCTTATGTATTGATGTAATTATCTCTATAGAGATAATTTCATATATAAACTTGGTATTTTTTATTTTTATTTTTTTATCTTGAAGCTTGGTTGAACAATTAGTAATAGCTAGAAGTCCAATACTTTCTTAAGGCAAATTCTTTTTACTTCGACATCATATAGAAAACTTGTTTTGTAAGTTAAGGTATATATTGTATAAAGTCAACATGTTTTGAAGGTCGTATAGAATGTCACCATATAGCTTGTAAGTAGATTGTATATATAGAGGTAATAGTAAAGCCCTCTTCATTCTTATCAACTTATTTTTTGCTTCTAGTCTAGTTTTAAGAGTCTATAGTTTTTTTATTTTTTAACAATAGTCATTTCAGTTTCCTTTTAATATACGTACTTTCTTATTTTTCTTTTTTCATACTTCTTTGAAAAAGTCTCACTTGTTTTTTAGCTTTCATTGAATTATTTTCCTTGACACTTATTGATATTCTTAATGAATAATCATTTTTTTTTTAAGTTTTGAAAATTTTATTTGTAAATCTTTCATTCTACATATGATTTTATTTTTTTATATGATTCTACATTGATGCTCATTTTTTCTTTCTTTGATGAAGCCATTGAAGGTTAAATCATAGAAATATGATAGATAGTAGGTATTTTTATCTTAGATGCTTGCAATGATCTTTGAATATCTATCATGTTCTTTTTTATATATTGTTTTTCAAGCAAACTATTATGTCTTCTACTTGCTTCTAATTTATTGTCTATATTTCATCTTCTACTTTATTTTTAAGCAAATGTTTTAACTTCTCTTGCAACTTCCTATTAACTACATGAAGAAAAAATTCTTCTTTACTTGAATCTAATAATTTCTTCTCTTTATTTAATAAACCAAAATTTTGTCTTTCAAGCTTCTTCAATTATTTTATTGCTTGAAGATCCTTTTTTGGACTCTCAATCAATTCAAAAATGACTTCTTTGTAACCTAGTCACTATCTTTTAAAAACAATTCATCTTTCAATACTTGAAAAAAAATCTCTCATAAACCTCTAAAATATCCTATAACAGACTTGTTATGATTTCTTATTTTTGGAGAAAAAGCTAATTTAAATAATTAAACCATTTCTTTCTTAGAAACATGCTTCAATTTTATTTCTTTAAAATAATACTTGAAATATTTTGTAATTTCATTCTCTTCAAACTAATCAATCTTATCTGCAACCGCCTATAAAGCTTTATTTTTCATACCCTTTTTACAATATTTAACCTATAGTTCTTGCATAAATAAAGCAAAGGCTTCAAATATGCTTCAAAATTAGAATCAAAATATATATCTTATCTTACATTCATACCTCTACTTATACCTCCACTTGCAACTCTATTAAAAGTTCAAATTGAAGTACTATCCATAGCTCCTTCTTCAACTTTCTTATCTTTCTTCTCTATAATTTAAATAAATAAAATAAAATAAAATAAAATAAACACCTTTTGCTTTAAGCTTTTTATATTGGATTCACCAAATATGTCGTATTATATTAAGTCTTGCTTAAGAATAAATTGGACACTTGACTATAGAAGGTAAAATTGGAATTGCAACAACAAGGTCCTAACAACTCTAATAGAATCCTAAATAAACCTCAATTAAAGCTAAAAAATCTTAATCAAATCTTGATCAAATTAAATTTAGATTTTTAAGAATTTTTTAAAGAAATTCTAAATAATTCATAAATTATTCTATAAAAAATTTAAAGAAATAATAAAAAAATCTAAAGAAATATCAAAATAAAAATTATTTTAAAAAAATTAAAAAAAAAATTCTAAATAAATCATAGATAAATCCTAAAGAAATTCTAATGAAATATTAATCAAATTTTTAATCAAATTCTAAATAAAATCCTTATTTATTCCTATTCTAAATAAATTCCTTTAATAGTATTTATCCCAAATAGTTGAAGGTATTGTTGTATGTTAAAGAGCTATTAACATACATTTTCTTATTTTGAAGCCCTAGAGTATATATTAAGCTTACTAAATTTCAGCCTAGTAGATGTCAACTCCCTTGTTCTAAAGGCTTCTATTTGTCCTTGCAAAGTAGCTATTTGGCCTAAGAAGTATTGTATTTAACCTCCATTTGAGATTATTCGATGATATCTTCCATGCTATAATTCCCCGCTAGACTTCACTTTTGTATGCCTTCTCACTTCTTGGTTGACTTTTTAAGAGTAACTCACAATAGCCTCAATATAGTACCTAATGTGACTACAACAACTGACTTTAAACTAGACGATGACTATCGATACACTACCAAAGAATAGTCTAATACTTGCTATGTTATCAATAAAATAGGACCAATCTATCTTAAGTGTTGAAGATCCTTCTAATTCATAGCAACATAAAACCTCCTCACAAAGTAAGACAAAATGGGCCAGAATAAAACTAAATAGAACTAAACAAACCTAAACAAAATAGGACATAAAGGACAAAACTGAGGAACCGGAATTAGAACAAAATAGAAGAGAATAGAAAGATATAAACTCAAATTTTATTAAGAAAAAGGGTCCAAAGCCATATTTGACAAGCTGCCTCAAAAGGTCCTAGCTAGTCCTATTTATACTTTGTTCTACCATCCTAGACTTTCTAGAATGTTCCTAAATGATAGACCCCACTTAGATAACCGTCCTAAAATCCATCTAGAAGGTTTTATAGTAGGTCCTACCTAAATAATCGTCCTAAGCCATTTCTAGAAGGTTCCACAATGGATCCTATATAGTCTACTAACCTAACTCCAATTCTAGATACTTCCACAACTTTTTAAACATGGTTCCAATTATCTATTCATATGTGTCAACAATACAATTATCTTATCATTACCTTATTATAGCATATGTAGACGTGCTAAATAAGATAATTCTTATCATTTGGAATAAAGTGCCAACATAACATTGCTATTGTATTGAAGCAATTGATAAAATTCTCTATTACATAAATATCACTAATAAATTATTTGGTGGAATTACTATAGTCTTTAAAAGAGATTTTTGATAAATTATTTATATTATTCTTTGCAACAATCATATATTTGGTCTCATATTAAAGTGTACAAGTTGATCAAAAATATGCATTTGAAAAGTATATTTGTTGAAGAACTTTTAAAGATATACATTATATAAGATTGTTATATTTGAAAAGTTCTTTATGATACAATGTTTTTGTTTAATATGTTTAAGGATGGTTTCCATTTGTAGGTTAGAAATGGATCAATTATTGTAGATCTAGAAGTATAGTGATTCCTCGAAAATCTATGAAAGTAAGTCCAATATCAAATGATTTGATTCAAGATGTCAATTTGAGATTAAATAAAGATGGAAATCTTGAAGATGAATATTTTACCAATATGTCTATTTTATCTACACAAAATTATGATATTGATGATCTAAAAAAGCATGCTATGGAGAGATTTTTTGATGTTTCATGTGTCTATTTGAACACAAATATAGTAATTATGGAAGATGGTACCAACAATGATAATCGTTATCTAATCGAGTATTTAAATAACTAAATTCCATTAAGATTGCTACCATTTAGCTTAGAGACCAAGGTTGGATGTCCTATTATGTTTTTACAAAATATTGCTCTACATGAAATACTTTGCAATGGTTTATGTTTAGTCATTATGCAACTAATTGATTGAATTACATCGGCAAGGTTATTATTTGGAGAATAAAATGGACAATTGTAAGGATCACATTACGCCCATCATCCGTAGAGATTCTACAGAATGCAGCTTTGGGTGGAGGCGGGCTGGTAGGCTGTTTAGTGTGTTCACCCCCTGTCAACTGGTGTGTAGATTATTAGAGTGGGATAGTAGTTTAGGGTGGAGCGAGAGAGTGTGGAGTTGTTGGGTGTGGGCACTTGTTGCAGAACAACCAACCAACCACCCTGTTCTGCTCTGCTGTGGGATTGCCATTGCTGCTGTCATCGTCATCGTGAGTGAAAGTGACAGTGCTGCTGCAGTGCAGTACACAAGGCGGGGCTGTGTCGCAGCCACAATGGCCGCGCCGCCTGGACGGGGCGGGGCACTGGTGCGATCTGTGGGAAGGCTGCTGGAGCGTAGCCTTCGCGGGTCTGATTCCCCTCGGGGGCTCAGACTTTCCGGCATGCAGTTGAGGGTGACGAGACCTGACCAGCGGTTGCGGCAGGTGGTCCCAATGCTGCCAAGGGCGTTGCCTGGTGGGGTGCCTTGGGGTTGTCGAGCGCCACCCGAGCGTGGATTTTTGAGTGCTGGCGATGGGGATGAGGAGAGTGGATTGGCTAAGCATTTCGAAGAGGATCGTGTTATTGGGTACATTTTATTTTGGCCCGATTGATTGATTGATTGATGTGTGTAATGCAATCCATATCACTTGGACGTTTAGGGACGCATTCGTTGCAAATATCTCGGCAATTAGAGCACGTATGGAGCTTTTACTGGTTGTTTTGTTATGGTCCACATTCGGGATTTAATCTCGCTTTCTCATGGCATGAGAGCAATAGCTGCATCACCTCCTCATTTGTTGCATAACCGCGACACACCATATTCGTTCTGATACGGTCTGCATCTTTCCGTCATGACTCATACCGTCACAAATCTGTTGAGTTGTGACGCAGATAGAATGCCAGTATGAGTCATGGCAATGAAATGCATTTAGACACAGTTTTTTCTTTGAAGGCTCTGTCTACACGGTTTATGGCAAGGCAAATTCGCACCGACTGAAGTGGAGAGAATGTGTGTTTGTTTGCTATTACTGACCTAATAGGGGTAAAAAGAAAAAAAAATGCGCGGTTAGGCTGATGCACTGTTCATAGATTTCTGTTAGAATTTCGTAGAGTTTCGTTGCAGCGCCCAGGTGTACCAATGATGTTTGTATCCTGGGATGTCGAAATTTGGAGCACGGCAGCCATTTTATTGTTATGCACTACTCTTGCGTTCTGAAAGAAAAAAGGGATTGTCTGTAGGCACACACCGCAGCAGGTGTTCGATGTGGTGGCAGGCGTTGATACGTATGCGGATTTCGTACCTTGGTGCCTGAAATCAAAGGTCTTGTGTCGCAAAGACAACAAAATGGACGCAGAGTTAGAGATTGGATTCAAGGTTTTTGTTGAAAATTACATCTCTCATGTCGAACTTAAGCCTCCCGACCTGATTAAGGTGCTCTCGCATACCCTTCCTACCTGTTGTACGTGACACAAAGACTGTTGCTCAAATTAGAATGTCACTTTCGTCAAGTCTGCGAAGTATTTCTGATTTCCGAACATGTCTAAAATTGGTTCAAACATTGATGGATCCTTTTGAAACGTGATTTAACTGTCTTGTAAACCAGACAACAGTTTCACAAAGTACTCTATTCGACTTCTTAAATAACGAGTGGCATTTCAAGCCTGGTCCAACTCCCGATTCTTGCCATCTCTTTTTTGTGGTTGATTTCCAGTTCAAGTCAGCTTTGTATCGAAAGGTATGTACTCTCTGCTTTTTTAGACTATTCTCTAGGAGCTTATTCAGATCTAATATGATATGATTTATCAGGCATTTTGTTAACAAATTTTTGTACGTATACTATGGACTGATCTACGTATGTCCATGTAGGTGGCCAATATTTTTTTCAGTGAAGTGCAAGCTCGCCTTGTCGACTCATTTGAAGAGCGATGTAAAATTGTTTATGGTCCCAGCGTGGAAATCGTGACGAGGTAGTTATCACCATTATTACTACGGTAGTTCATTATGGTTAATTCACGTAGTTCAATTCATTATTTGATAAGTTTATATATATATATATATATATATATATATGTATCTCCAAAAGTTCCGTTGGAAATTGAAACGTGCATGTGAACTGAATGTTCGCAGGAAAAAAAATAAAAAGTAACGTTTTTGTGAGACTCGATGTGTGAAAACGAGAAGATGATGTTAGTTCCATCTGGTGCATTGGATTCCATCGCAATGGTGGCTTTGGAGTCTGGACATTTCTTAAGCATTTTTGTTGCAGGTATTATGGAATGATTCTTAAGTCTAAGCGAAGATGCAGCACAATGTTTTATGCTTCAATCCTCAACCACCTGATATTTCCGGCTGTTAATGAATTTCTATATTGTCCATCATTGATTTCTGCTGGCATATTTTCAATGAGGCCGCTATATCTAGATCAAAGTTCATGTACTGCGGGACGATTGTTCTTGCCCTCACCTTCTATGTTTCTTTATAATCTTGTGTCTGCTAGAGCAGCTTGAAGCGTTACAAGCGATGGATTCTCTGGTTTGAACAGTCGGATACTATCCCTTATCAAGGTACGAGACCTATTTGGTTGAACAGTCGTAAGACCATGAGTGCATTAAACGATTGTGTAATATTAGCAGCAATAGAATCCATGTACATTCGCTTCATGTTACCGGTTGTGATTGGAAACTCTATCATCTGTTTAATATTGTGTATAATTGAGCACTCTGCACGCAAGGATGCTTCGTTTGAAATCAATGAGTATTTGGTTCATGTAATTAATGCAAAAGTTGAGGCTTCAGAGAACTTTCGTATGTTCGTCGTTGCAGTGCCCAGACTACAGAGAACGGTGCCACAACAACTGGGTTCTCACGTTGCACATAGCAATACTTTCAGTCTAGATGGCCGTTCAATCCTGCTGTGTTTCTTACCGCATTCGCCTCATGCCCTGAGTTTGAAGCTGTATCACAGCGTATGCTTCTCGTTCCCAAGCCCCTGCTTCCTGCACCAGCGTTCGATATTATTTTATTCAATTTCAAAGAACTTGTTTATTTTTTATTTAGATCTTTTGAAAATGGGGTAGCGCATTTCTTGCCTTCTCAGCAGGTGAACAATGAATAATTTTTGCTCGCAAGTTCCAGTTGCCTTTGGTGATATAATTAATTTTAAAATAAAAGGTTTACCGTTGAATGTTCATAAATGAGGCTCACAATATTCATTCTACAAAGATCTGACTGCTAGAATTTCAACCGTATATATTAAACTTAAGCACAGATGATGAAGCACAACATTAGAGTGGGATGTAGACTTTAATAAATGATAGGTAAAAATTTGAGTAGAATTCCAAACTTTGGTTAGATTATGTGTTATTATTTAGGAGTGTCTTATAACCAAGTACCAGAATAGACACTTAAAAAAAAGCCAAATCTTGGATTGCTTCTATAATGGAAATGTAAGAATGAATAGCACATTGAGAAGAAGTAATTACAAGAAGAGACAAAAATTGCAAGAAAAAATTAAAATTTTAAAAACTCTATTTAGTATAGTCCCAATGAAAAAAATTAGGGGATCAAGTAGGCTATTTACACCCTAAACGTACTTCATTAGAAAAGCAAGCTGCTCATACTAGTTTTTTGGAACAGTGTTTTGTTTCCAAAAAATCAACTGATCTTTTCTCTTGACTTCTACCAAAATCTACCAACAAGCCAACATGGCAAGCGAAGTCAAAGAAGTTAGAAGAAGAATTTAGAAGATTTGTTAGAAAAACACATAAAAGTAGAAGCATAGCAAAAGCTCTCTTTGATACTGGGCTTCAATGTCATTCAATTCCTCCATGAGCCAAACATACAAGGTTTATCGTCCCCACTGGGAGCTCATGTAAGGTCAAAAACCATCACCAGGAGATAGGAATAGTCCATCAATTGTAAGTAATCTCTGATCCGCAGCTCAAAAATACATGCCTAAAATGTCGTAAAAAGTTTCGTACTAATAGCGCGCAGCCAACAACTTTTTGGACTCATTGTTGTTGTTGTGGAATGATGCTTCGTCCTTCCGCACAGCAGAGATGGCAACCACTAGTGCAGCTCCTAGGCTCTCCTGCATCACCTTGTTGCTCTCCAACGCTGCAACGGCCTCCTCCAGTACCGCTGGCAACAGCCTGACTGATTCTTTATCCAACTCTTCAATGTCTGTATTTGACCAATCAATGCACAAATCAATCGGTTAGCGAATCAAACGGCGTAAACTAAATCATGTGATTAAATTTGAAACAAATCCATGCATACCAGTTTCTACATCGTTTCAATGAAACTCGGAATTTGAAGTTGAGTTTGAGAAGGCTTATACCTATGGGCTTGGGGACATGAATGTGCTTGCGTAAGCCATCGATTCCTGCAGCGAGGATGGCAGCTAAGCCCAAATGGGGGTTGACACATCCGTTGAATTGTCTCAACTCTAGGCTGCTCACTTCGTTGGGGCTAGCACCATAAGTCGTTCGAAGAGGTGCTAGCAAATTGCCTTGTCCCCAGAAGTGGTAGCCAGCACCATTGTTTGAATCATAGCTGTAGATGCCCAAATTGTTCAGGGTCACTCCTTTAGCTAACAGTGAGCATGAAAAGTATGTTCCTTAATTAGGACTAGCAGCAAGATGTACTTTCTTCTAGAAGACCATGCTCGTGACCTATTTTTTCTAACACAGTAAAATATATTCGTTCCAGAACACAAAATGCACCAAACGGAAGAAATAAGTTACCAAATTGGGAGTGGCGCAGTGAACGCAAGAAGGGCAGGCAAATGATGGAAAATTCCTCCAAGGAACCTTTGCCCGAATTGAGATAACCCATACTTGTCGTTCGTAGTATCCATGGATCCGACCACATTTAAATCTTCTTGCCACAGGCTTAACCGGACGCGTGAACTGCCAATGCCTGAAGCCTCTTGCCTAGCAACAGAAGTCAAACAAACCAGTCCACTATAATACACTTGACTGCAATGCACTGAAGATTGCAAAATGCTGATAGATTCACGGTTCAAGTCCTAAAATACTGTGGTAAATCTACGCATTCATAGTTGGTAGATACAGTACATAAATCAGTCGACAAAGAAAACGATGAGCACTGCATACAAGTTTGGTACAAACGTAGCACGCAAGGAGTGCTTGCTAGCAACTGCATTCACAGTCTCTCTGACAAGCAGGAAATTGTCTGCAGCAGTAAGAACGTGGGTATTTCCAACAGTCACCACAAATTGACCTCCTCCTTCACAGTGCATCTGCCAAAAACCTCAAAGTTAGGAGTGGAAGTTATCCATTCATCTTTTCAACAGCAAATTTGATCGCTCTGTTTTCGAAATCAGCAGGATGCAGATTTTCGGCGCCCTAAAGAGACTAGAGCACATTCAAATCTAGAATTGTTGACCAGTAGCGACTCTTTCAGTTACCTCTTCAATGTGGATGTTGAGAGATGATAATATATCGTAAATCTCGGCCAAAATGGACGAAGCTGCATGAACACCAGCTGCAGATGAAAATGGGCTTGCGGTCAGAAATTCAAAGTTTTGGAATCCAGAAGATTGTTTGATAAGGTAGAATCCAATGTCAAAGCCTGCCCGCATCACCTACAGCAACATCACCAAACAGGAGTGTTCGGAAGTCTCAGTGTCAGTGTCAAAAACGGCTAACTTCATAACACTACCATTCCAAACTCAAATATGCTGTAAAAAGCAAAACCAAAGAAGAAGAGCAAAAAACAAAAATAAAATAAAGGAAAGAAAAGAGAGAAAGAGAAAGCATTTTCACTAGATTGTAGCTCATGCGAAGCGTTTGCGAGAGGCGTTGCAGCGTGTTGCGAGGGTCACACTTCCATGGAAGTCCAGGCTTTTCATGTATGTTCACAAAGACCAATGCATCCTCTGAACACCTGCACCAACACTAGGGTTAAAACTAGACGCATGGAACTCTGGCATTTGTCTGAGCAACAGATTGCCTAGTAATAAAACTATGCATACCTCAAAAACAGATGGAACAATGAAGAACTACTATCTACGGGAAAGCAAGGACCTCAGTACAACTCACCAGGGAACCGTGATCTTTGTGCTAAGATCTGGCATTAGACGAACTTCACCTACTGATGATAATCCAGAACCAAGAGCAGCAAAATCTGAGTGAGCCGTCATGCCCATGATGCATGACGGAATCCCCACCCCATGCTCCACCACCACCTCCTCGAACCTCCTCCTGGGAACAACCTACATCACAATATAAGACTTCAATTTAACATGCTTGAACATTTCATTAACTCGCAGCAAACAGATCAAGAATGGATTAACCAATGCGACCTCTACGTGTTGGAGACATGCTTTGCTTTTAACCATATTTTATGTTGCTGATACCCACACGCATCTGATTAATACGTAGGTTTTGATTGACTAAGAGCGGTAAACATACCCGACAACGAAGTTGCCCTGATGTGTCCGCATAAAGCAACCGAACACGTTTAACTTCAAGAGGTTTCTCGTCAACTGCTATTACAGCAACAGGTACAACAACTTCAGGCACGGCTGTCACTAAAGCCACGGGAGCTACGGGAGCCACTGGAGCCAACGAAGTCGCTGCCGTAGCTCTAGGTACGAACTGGGGAGCTGGGCCAAATTTGGGAGTTGGATTCGCCTCGTTATAAACATCTTTTGAGTTTGGGTGAGCGGAGCCATTAGGATGCGGCGACCTCCCCGGTAATCTAAACTCAAAAGAGGACGGAGGTTTTTCAATTGTTAAAGGAGGAGCGAGACTCTCCTGCAGTCTCAGAAGGCTTTCAGTTGAATGTGAGCGAGCTAAAGAAGAAAACGGTGCACGAGAATTTCCTTCTAGCTTGTAAAATTCAATTGCATTGCGGTTCAAGATCAGCTCAGCAGCTGCAATTGCTTCTTCGAGCGTCAAGTCGCCGTTATCATACGACTCACAGAGCACACGAGCTAGTATGTCGCGTGACCACTTTGCCCCTACAAGTCGGCACATTACACAGGTTATTAGATATCCAAAGACGGGCAACACAACAGAAGAATGCAAGAGCCTATAATGATTTAACCACTGTAATCAATGTATTAAAGCTTCAATTTCCCACTCGGTAAAACGAAATCACGGTCTTGTATCAAAAGCTTGACAAGCATGCACATTTGTCCACACCTAAATAAAACGTCTCCGGAAAGGCGTATCCATCACTGCTGAACATTATCTGCAACACAAGTTGGAACCAGTTCAACAAATCAAATACCGGTAATTCGCCACTTGAGAGTTGACCCAATTTTTATTTGAGCTGCATAAATTAGAGCTCAATAAAAAGCCGAAGCAAACTCTCGTGAAAAATCAGACCAACTCATTTACAACCAAAAAGTTGCAAGTCCAGGGATTTCTTCGTTAGGACCACGCATCACTCTGCATGAGGATTACCGTAATTCTAATTTTCGAGCTATTTATTAGCATGGTTTGTGGAGAAACTCACCTTGTTCACAGGTGCCAGATCAAGTAGATCACTGAGAGCACACCGCATCCCTCGAACGCTTAACATAGGCACAACAAGGCCAAAATCGATGTGCACCTGTCAATCCATGGTGTCTAAGCCAGAATCACTCCGGGTACAAATACTTCATCCCACATGTACAAATTGCAATTTGCAAATATCTTCAACCAGAAACTTTCTGCCACTGGAGGAACTACTGCATTAGTGCATGTTGTCTTGCTTCGGATGCTAAGATTAATTATGCTTCGGAAAATGCACACAATCGTACAAATACAGAGTTCTTGAATGCCTACGAATACCAACGTGCATTCGACAGTACTTTTCAAAATGAAGAATTGAAACAAAACCTGGGGGTAGACGCTCGCAAGATACGACGCCTCACGCATGAACGGATAGGACCCATGTAAGAGCACGATGCGGCTTTTTGCAAACAACGGATCTTCTAAAATAGCACGAAGATGTAGAGGATTTGCCAGCTCCAGCTGCAAGTCCTTGTCGCCAAAGCTAGAACACGCACAACGACGTGTGTGAGCTTCACCTTTTGGCTTACAAATATCGTAAATGCGGCAACAAACCATCCCAAAGTGCAAGAGAAGAAATAGTACCCAGTATGAATTTGCATGGGAATGTTACGCTCCGTAGCAACCTCAAGTGCGCGGACAAACATGAAGTCAATAAACGCTTTGTTGGAAACTATGACAGACTGCCCTGCCTGATGGTTTTCTGCATATCCAACACTAAAGTACTTGGTATCTGATTCAGCTGACTAATCATAAACAGTATATCAAATTGTAGCCCACACGCAGCGAACAGAAATCTCTACAAGCAGAGAGTTAATTTTTAAGGTCCAGGAAGACAACACGTACGGAGATTTTCATGGAGGCCAGTCTCAGCAGCTTGCGCAGAGACCAAGGGGTTGATACGAAGTCCACTTCGATACGCACATATGCTCTTGAACGCAACTACCTTCTCCGCAAGTGTGAATCCTTCCAGTTAAAGAAAATGAAACTTCGGGCAAAAGAAGGAGTTCATTCACCAAAGAAACTTTCGGCAGGAGATTCTTAGGAATTGTAGCGAGCTATCACTGACTACCCCTATATGGCACTTCACGTGGTTATAACTAGCAATGCTGTGTTTCAAGGAAGAAAAAGCATATGTCATCTCCTCAACAAACCACTCCATGAGTACAAAAACATTAGGGGAAAACAAAAAGAAAAACAACAAAAATAAACAAAAGAAACACACAAACAAACAACGAAAGTTATGAAGGATATGACTCTAGTGTCGACACAAATCGGTGGTCAAAGCTACTCAGCGTCCAAGTTGCAAATCCACCTTGGCTCTGTCAGCATCAAGCAACAGCATAATGAGAAATTAGGTGACGAAATTTTCCAGGTGTAATGAAGAATTCATGAAACTTCGGACTAAATCTGGATTTCTCGGGGTTAAAGATGACGACCTGCTCCACTTAGCCTCAACCACATTGTAGCACACACTGCAGAGAACAGAACTGCTTACCACGGGCTGGTTGAGCACGGCCTCCGCAACAGTTTCAATTCGCAGAACCCTATGCACACTACGAATATACTTGCGATGCCAACCCAACCCCAGCATTCGATCCATAGTCAAGCCATCGTCCAGAAGGACATAGTCGATGTTTGCACCACCGAAGCATCTCTCACTCACAGCTTCGAGGCCTATAGATTCCCTGTGCGCCTTAAGAGAAGCCTCGTTTGGCTCAACGCCGTACATGTCTCCTAGTTCTTCCAGGCTCCTCTGTCAACACCAATATACATGAAAGGGATGAGAAATCTGATTAATTTGAAAGATACTGATGCTCCGATTCAACACCCACAAAAAAAAAAAAAAAAAAAAAGGGGGGGGGGGGGGGGGGGTAAATGTTCAGTGTTGAGCCTGAACGAGATAATTAACCAGCTATAGTTCCACGTCTGTAGACCAAAAGCCTCGTGATAAATGTGAAGCTGTATAAGTTAGATCTCTTGATCCCTAGAGAATGCAAGACATAATCCACTGTGAGAAACACAATATCTTATGAAATTCGATACGTTTACCCCTTTTCTGCATGCTAGAGATGTTTGCCAAGCTCTAGAGATGTGCAAGAGTAGGGATCGGCAATGAATGGGTGGGGAATAAACCTGGTAGGCGAGGCTGAGGGGCACACCGGAGAGAGTTTCATGGCCACGTTCGTCAGAAAGGCATCGCAAGAAGGGCAAGTGGGAATCGAGAGCCACCACGTTGTGTGCATGCGAGTCCACAAGGGGCACCTGCAGGCATGTCTGCCGGATATTCTCGTGATCTTGCTCCAGTGTGCTCGCCATCTTCCTACACTTCTTTTCCCACCCAGTAATCGCCGAGGACAAGATCTGCTACTCACCAAGAGATGACGATTTCCGCGAATCTGCGCAGACTCTCACAAATGTTGGAAAAGTCACGAATCTCCTAAACAACAAACTCCTTGAGCTAGGTCTGGATCGTTTTTAGATGCAGTGTGATTCGTGTCGTTTCCAGGCTTGATTATATTGTACAGATGCAACGAACTTTTAGTTGAAAACAGATTGGATGTCTTGAGAGGAGCTCGAGATTCCTCTCCTGCGATCCAAGCCAGAGACACCAATGAGACCCCCTAAACGCTCGTCAAACACCTAATCTCAAGATTTCCTCAGCAATACTATCTCACAATTCTCCTCAATCACCTTGCGCACACCTAATTTCTCTCCTCCTCCTACTCCTCCTCGAGGAACCATTTGACTACTAACCACTCAATGTTGATTTAGCAGCCGCACCCAAGCTAGGAAATAAGAGTTCCAGCAACAGAAAGATTGTTGGGCAAACCCAAACAACACAAGGAGACTAATAAGAAAGCACTCCACGGATCGGGAAGAGACGATCACGAAACCCAACTCAGCCCAGAGCCAAATCAACCTGCCAACCTCGGCGCGCCTGCTGTGGCATCGACCTACCTGCACTTCCTGCTGCTGCTGCTGCTGGTTGAGATCATGGCAACACATCAGCTCCTGACAGTGCAAGCCACCTGTGAGAAGGAATCAATGGAGCGATCTATCAATGGAAGTCACCCCCTCACGTCACCAGCATCGCAAATACCGCTGCGGGGGCTAGCTCATGCGAAGGAGGCCAAAATAAACCTCACCTGGGGAGCGGAACAGAGCCCCAGTCGGCCGATGCCTTGCATTTACTGCTCTCCCCGTGCCAGAGGTGGAGCTCTGATAGGTCGGTCCCGCACGAACGATTCGCACAACCGTGCATGCGATACCACGCATTTACCCCGACGACTCGGGTGGGCTCGAAACAGACAAGAAATTGACGCCCCTGGTTCAGTCTCCTCCGCCTCCGTCGCAACCTCCCCTCCTCTCCCCTCCCCTGCTTGCCTGCCTGCCTGCCTGCTTTTTCTTTCCCTAAGCTTACACCTTTGGTACTGCATCTTTCTCTACGACCCCTGCCGGACCAAACCCATTTCGTCGATCGTCATCGCTGTTGCTCATCCCAATCCGAAATGATCCATTCCATCGTCCTGACGCTGCCGCGGTTCCCGCTCAGCAGGAGCTGAATCTGGGTTGTGGGGGGGGGGGGGGGTAAAGGGTTCGCGGATCCCTTTTCACACAAACCTAGTAACGTTTTAAATTACTTTTCATGGTTGTCTTTCAGATTCCGATTTTTCTCTAATGCTGGGATTTTTTCACGCTGCCTATCTAGAAACTGTTTGAATCTTGTTCTATACAATATGCTTTTGTACATGATTTTGAGTTTTCTGGTGTGCACAGTTTTAAATTATATATTGATGAGTGTATGCTAATTATTGTTAATTAATAAATAAATAAATCTTTAATAGATCACTTGAGTTTTTTTTATTAATAAAAATATAATGAAATAAATATTTATATTATATAATAAAATCATGTAATAAATATTTAAATATAGAAAATAAAAATAAAACCCACAACTACTAAACAAGTATAACCTGACAAAGGAATTTACAAATAAAAAATGGCTCTAATTTTGATTCTAATTATACTTTCAATTACAATTTTAAATTTCTTTTGTTGAGTTTTAATAACTTGTCACTTAAGATTCTAATTTTTTTCTTAATTTAAACAAGCATTTGAAGAAAAAAAATTAAATAAATTAGTAATTAATAAATATAATAGTAGTATTATATATCTCTCTCTATATATATAAGGAGTTGTTAAAGCCACACCCTACATTACCATCTTATGATCAATTCCATCCATCCTTATGTCTTGTTTCATGTCTTCCATCTATTATAAATATCTATTTAAAGAGTTTATTATAAAAGATATTATATTAAACATTTATTTTGTATAAAAACTAAATTTTTGTGTTTAATTTTAATTTTGAAACTAATATAATATATAAAAAATACAATTTATTTGAAAAAATTCAACCATGATAAAAACAACTATATTCAATAAGTTGTTTTCTAAATAACTCAAATTATATAGATATCTTATTTATGAGTGATTGTTTGTGAGTGAACAAATATTTCAGATAAATTACAATAGAATGTTTATTGTAATAATAATAATCAAAAATTTGTGAAATTAAAACTAGAATAGATTGACATAATATTTGAGATCAATGTATGCAACAAATATTTATTTCTATTAAATATAATATACTTAAATTAAAATAATAGGAGTCAAAGTTGTATCCCATAATAAACATTCTTTTGTCTAAAAAATATATATTGTGCTATTATATATATATTATAAATATTTTAGGATTTTATTATTAATATTATAAATATTTATAGAATAATAGAATTACTAAAATTTTATAGCATTATTAAAAAGAAGCTTTAAAAGTATTATAACATTTATCTATTTATAAAAAAATAGTTGTATATTTATATGTATCTATAATAGAATTAAATTCAATTTAAATAACAATTGATATTAATTAAATTATTGATTTTATATCAAAACTTGCATCATTTGGATAACTAAATTATTTTTTTAAAATAAGAAACAGAGAGATGGTGACACCATTGATAACACTTAGATTCAATAAAGTAGATGTACTTTTAAAAAAAAAATTATAATAATAATAAAAAATAAAAAATAAAAACTCTAAGTAAAATTATCACAAGTTGTAAAATGTTAATTTTTATGACATGTTTTTGTGGTCTATTGTGTTATAATACTGAAAACTAATACCATGTATCAAGCACAGCATTTTCAAAACCAAGAATTATAACATTTTTTCATATATATTTTAAAAATCAAATATGAATGTAATAAATCAAATTGTGTGTGCATATAAATATAATTTATTTATATTAAAAAAATAGCTTTTTAAGTCAATAATTATCATTTCATATTATTTATTTATTACTAATAAAATTATTATAAAAAGCATAAAGTATCATAAATTATTTTATTACTATTATTAAAATATGCTAATCAATCTATATCCTATATTATGTTAAATGCTTTAAATATGGATTCTATCCATTTTTTTTTAAATCAATGAAATCATTTATATATTTTTTATTTATAGAAAAAGTTTTATGTTTTAGCGCAAGTATGGAATGAATTTATGCCATACACTATTCTTCTTATAGAACAATTATATATTTTTTTTAAAATTATTCTTTGACTTTGCTAAAAAAAATCTCAATTTTGTTTTTCTCTGTACTATTATATTCAAACCAAGAAGTGGAGAGAAATAATTTAAAATCCATGTTTACTTACATAGTCACTACAAAATGAAAAATGACTCTTAATGAGAAATGACCATATAATTGCTATTGGATAAAATTATTCCATGCTCAAAAAAAAATGAATTTTAAAATATAAATAAATAAAATATCTAAATATTTCCAAATATATAATAACAAAAAAAAGATTATTTGTTTTATTAAATCAAATCATGTTACTTGACACAATTCCAATTCATGTATGAATATCAAAGCTTTGGGGATATTGCAAGCTTTAGTGCTCCTTGGTTGGACCAAGAAGGCAATACCACCATGCCTTGCATGCAAATCAATCAAGATCGGCATTTGCATTGCATCATTCACTTCTCAATTTTGAATCTATGTTAATGACCAAGGAGGGGCTTTCCATGGTCTTTGTTGGATGTGATTTAAGGCTTTCAATGTTGAGCTTATTATTTGTAGTAGATAGTGAATTGATGTTGGTTCTTATGTAGGTACAAATTTACCTCTCATATATAGCTAGATTATTTTTCTAGAGCCACAAATGAAGATAGTTTGATAGATTAGTGACTTGAGGTGGATATTTTTTGGAAAAGTTATGTGTTGATTTACACAATAATCTAAGAAATGTAATAACTTTTGTTGTAGGAATTGTTTGATCAAATTGCTGAATAGGTTATTAAGACGTGTTATAAAAACTAGATGAATATTATTCTATTATAAACAAGAATCTAATAGAAACTAGAAAGTGAATACCTCTCAAGTCTTTGTTATATATTGGATAAATCACAACTTTTGGTATATAAAATATGAGATATTCAATATTCTTTTTCTAAAAATAAGACTTGGTTTTCTACTAAAATAAGAACTAGCATATCTCTCAAAGCTAAAAATTTATTTTTAAAGAGAGATTTTGTAGAGATATCTATTTCAATCTACTTGTCATGAACATACACATATAAATCAATAATTATCTATATGATTTAGATAATAATATATAAAAGTAGGTTAATTCCATAATATATTCTATAGAAGCTTTCTAGAAGCTTCATAGATGCTGGTTTGATTTTATAGGTGACTTTAATTGACTTTTTAGATTAGAAATGTGGTCAACAAGTTGGCCATGTCCCACATATATTGGTAGCTTGAAAAACAAGCTAACCATGTGGTCTACACATAGAAAATTTGTCTTGTAAGCTAAGGCATGTGTTTTACAAAGTCAATATATATTAGAGGTCCTATAGAACATCACCATGTAGTTCCTAGTTAGATAGTATATATATAAGCAAAAATGAAGCCCTCTTCACTCTTGTAAATTCCTTTCTTGCTTCTAGTCTAGATTTAAGAGTCTCTAATTTTCTTGTCTTTTGACAATAGCCATTTCAATTTTTTTTTAATATATATATATATATATATATATATATATTATTTTATTGTTATTTTTTCACTTTTCTTTTAACACAGGTTTTCTAGATTTATGCATCTTCTTCTAGTTCATGTCTTTGACAAATTGATAAGAATACACTTATAATATTAGAGCTTTGTCTTTTCTTGATTTAAAATGGATTATCTTTTTTTCTTGATAAGACATAAGTATATCAAAAGTTATAGATTATCGTCTTTTAAATTAATATTGTTCTTAGTATCTTCTTTGTTCTCAAGTCCCCTCTTCTGCTTGTCTTGAGCAATATTAGATATTTATTTTTTAAGTATTATCATGGCAGAGCTTGTTGAAATGAAGAGTACAATGGTACAAATGCAAGAGTAATTGAAGGAGTTAATGCTTGCAATGCATCAACTTAGTTTACCACCACAAGTATCAACAAGAATGGTAAGAAGTGATGATATAGATATGATTGGAGCTGCTTCAATATATGTATCCAAATTTATCTCTTTTCCTACGATAGAATATCCTTCCATTACTAAAGAACCATGAGTTGACTTGTCTGAGAAGTTTGATGATACAAGATCCAAATTTCAATGACTTATCAATCAAGTACAACTTGTGATTGAACTTCTATCCCAAAGCTATTCAACTTTAAGATCACAAGTTAGATTCATTAGTACACTTCTTTCAGGTTCAATATTATCATGATTTTTATCTTTTCTTGAACGACAAAATTTAATATTGGATAATTTGGAGGCTTTTTTAGTGGAATTTCAATCTATATATGGAGAACATAATACAACTCGTATTGCAAGCAATAAGATCCGTATTTTACAATAAGACAATCAATCCATAACATTATATGTTTCACAATTTTGAGAACTTACAACTGATATCAAGTAGGATGATGTTGCACTTATTAGCCAATTTCTTTATGGATTATAATATAAGGTAAAGAAATTGATACTCAACTTACTTGATCTTCAAACATTGAATCAAGCAATTGATTTTGATATGAAGTGTGACAATTAAATGTTTGAATTTCAATCTGAGAGATAGACAAGTAGGCCTCAACATTACTATAATTCAATGGCAACACCAATGCCTCTTCAATACATATATTCAAAAGTAGAGGATATACAAATTGATGTGGTATGTTTCAAACCTCTTGCTAAGCAAGAAAAGACTCATTGCCATGAAGAAGGATTGTACTTATATTGTGGAGAATCTAAGCATACTGCCTAACATTGTCCAAAGAAGCGATGCAATTATAAAA